TATTTCCATAGCTGACGTGAGTCCTAAAAGGTCCACATATTAATAAATAATATTATGACAGCTGTTTTAATATTGAGATATGATTGAATCGCCTCTTGTTACTATCATTAAAATAGTTTGACAACAAGCAGGAAACATTCATGGGCCAATGGCATCACCACATTGAAATGGTCATGTATGTAACATTATTTCACATCATGATTCTTTGCAGATGCCACTGCATGTACCTGCTAGTAACGGTCACATTATTCTCCAGGGTTTCATTTCCTCACTTTTTCACCCCTTTAAAATCTGACCCAGTTTTGACAGAACTCCTTAAGGGTGGCTGATTACATCTGAATGTCTATAAACTGGGTGCTTAAACTCTGATTGCAGGAGAGGGAAAGTGCACAGGAGAATTCAGATCAATCCTTCTAAACTGTTATTCCTCTCCGCTACTTGCACTTCAAAGTCTACCTTTATCTGCCCATCAACTATCACTCGCAGCTGGTGCATTATGGAGGATAATCCTTCAGTCACCTTGGGGGTGGAAAGAGGAACAAACAAAACAGACGATGACATGCATCCATAAAACAACCTAATAAAAGTCAACACACTTCATCTATATTCCATGCGTGCTTATAGGGCACGCTACACGATATGAGGAGCTTAACTACATTTACACATTGATTGCATTTGGAAATCAAGTGCCAATCCAATTGTGGCTTCTAAATGACTGCTGAATTTAAATTATTTCACAATGACGGTAGCTAAATTGTGGTCAGTCCACACAATGTGTATCGTCAATAGTGTTGGGTAAGTTACTTTCAAAAAAGTAATAGATTACAAGTGATTACTTCTGGAAAATAGGGCTGTGCAATTAATCGAAAACCCGATTTCGATTATGGCTTCTAAAGATTATGAAAAACCATTAATCGAGATAAACGATTATTGCATCATATACCAAAAGCGCGAAAGACCGCGTGCTTATGTGTGTGTGCAACAAGCGCACAGGCATAAGCACGCGGTCAGCATTCAGTCTCATTCACACACTGAGACGAGCAGAGGAGCGCAGACATCTAAAGTAATCTTAACATGAGCGCTTTAATGTCAAATAGGTGTCAAAACGCGGTGATTAGTGATTATTCATATTAACCCTCATTTGCGTAATAAACAAACGAGTTGAGAATCAAAAGACACGCGAAAGAGAAACCATTAAAGTGAAAGTGCGAAATGCTGCCGCCTGTTTTATCATTAATCAAAAAACGAGAAAATCCCTCACTGCTCTAGACTGAATGATTTTTGTAGCTAAAGTGTTTTTCTTACAGTGAAGATGCTTAAAATCACAGTTTGTTTTATATTTTTATATTCTGTTGTATTTATTTCTCTTTTTTTTGCAGGGTGGAAAATAACTATATATACAGTTGAAGTCAGAATTATTAGCCCTCCAGAATATTAGCAACCCTTTTCCTCAAATTTCTGTTTATTGGAAAAAGTTTTTTTTTTTTTTTTTACTTATTTCTGAACATAATAGTTTTGATATATCATGTCTAATTACTGATTTGTTTTATCTTTGCTATGATGACAGTACATAACATTTTACTAGATGTTTTTCAAAATACAAGCATTCAGATTAAAGTGCAATTCAAAGGCTTAATTAGAGTAATTAGGCAAGTCAATGTATAACAGTAGATTCTTCTGCAGACAATCAAAAAATAAGGGGGCTAATAATATTGACCTTAAAATGGGTTTCAAAATATTTAAACCTGCTTTTATTCTAGCTAAAATAAAACAAATAAGACTTTCTCCAGAAGAAAAAATATATTAGAGGAAATACTGTTAATATTCCTTGCTCTGTTTAACATACTTTGGGAAATAGTTATTTAAAAAAACAAAATTCTCAGGAGCGCTAATAATTTTGACTTCAACTGATAATCGTTTTGAATAATCGTGATTACAATTATGACCAAAATAATCGTGATTATGATTTTTTCCAAAATCGAGCAGCCCTACTGGAAAATTGTAATTTGACTACATGATTCATTACTTTAATATGAAGTAAGTTTTAAAACTTATAAAAGATATAAAAAACACAAAAAACTGCAGCTCTTTCAGTAATTTAATATTCACAAAAAAATTACAATGGGTTTAACACAGCAGCTTGACGAATTCAAAAGATTTAAAGAGATAGTTCGCCCAAAACGCAAGCCACACCCCTCCACTGGTAATAACAAACTTGCGGGCGCAAAAGACCCAATATTTGAACAGCCCCATAAGCAGCTGCGCTTCTCTTCAGACTTTCAGAAGGTACCTTCACTCCCGATGCTGCACAAAGATCTAATATAGCCTGAGTTGGGCCGCTGTGTTTTTGGGCACCGGTGCCCTCCTTGGCGACAAGTATTGTCCTATATGCTTTCTGTTCAAGTGCTTGAACATTTTGCTGGTCGAGTTAAAAGCAGTGTAAATTTCTTTAAAGACATAGTCTGCAGATCACTGTAATACTTTTGTTTTTACACTCAAATCAAAGTAAAGTCTGCATTTCCACTTGAAGAAGCAGCCACTCTTGTCAGCAGCTATTTCAACTCATGTTCTCCAGCAATTTAAAAGCGAATGCTCATTAACTGATGTTGCAGCGGAAAACATGATTAAAAAAAGCAAATATTGTTTTCGAAAATCGACATTTGTAACGCAAGCAACACAATTACACTGACTTTAGTAACTGTAATCAAATGACACAAATTTAAATTGCAATCCGTTACATTACTGTGTTCTCAAATAGAATACAGTAACGCCTGAAGGCCCGTTCACACTGGGACGCTTTTTGCCTGCGTTTTCTGTCGACGATTACTTGTGACTAACCAAAGGGCGGCAATGTGATCATGCACCAATGCACAAAAATGCAAGAAGTAAAAGCTAATTTTTTTAAGAAACACCTCAAAACCACGTCAAAACCTTCTCCATCGGTCAGATTGACACTTTTGTTCATGTGCACAAAGCTGCTGAAGTTACAGTAAACAGCACTTAGAGGTGGAGGTGAACTGAAGAGGTGGTATTTGACCCAAAGTGTATAGGTGACCATCGTCAAGTGGTTGTACATGATCATCCTATTGCTAAAGCCAGACGGAATCTGCAGACGTTTTTTATATTTCTGTGGGCAATTTTGGCAAAAATCTGCAGATTTCTGCGGAATCATTTTGGGAGTATCATAACTAAAACTTTAATATATGAAATAAAATGAAAACCTTTTTTAACTTTTATTTGGCAAACGAAGCAAGTCTCTCATAATATATCTACTAAAAGACAGAAAATATGACTTTACAAAATGCATTGTACGTTAATCAGATGAATATTGAATACTGTAATTATTTTAAAAACTTACTAAATATAGATTTACACACATTTACGCAAGCAAATAAACAGAATTATGGATGGGCTAAAAATCTGCGGAAATCTTAGGAAAATCTGCGGAATTCTGCGCGCACAGATCCCGTGTGGGCATACCTATTACCCCGTCAGAGACTTATAAGTACTTGGCCATTTACATTGATAGTTCTTTTACATGAAAAACACACATACCTGTAGGTTTGCTCTTGTTTACAGCAGAGATTGTATTTTTTACGTCTTTTTGGAGTTTTATAAAGCTGTTCAAAGAGATCCCTTGTTCTAAATTTCAGTGGGTCTCCTTAACACGAGTTTATCTTAATTAGCATTATAATTATTGCAACTACTATATTTTGTGTTGTTTTTATTTATTGTTTTTATGGAATGTCTGCAGCAATATGGTGATGCCCATAACAAATTACCAGCCAAGGACAATAAAGTTTTACTACTACTACTACTACTACTTTTCCGAAAAAAAATTCTGAAACGTGCTTGTCTGTGTGAACAGCTGTTTTTTTTTATATTCGGAAATTTTCTGGATATTTATCAACATCGCTGTGTGAAAGGGGCTAACGTCAGTTAATGCATTTACTAACATGAACAAACAATGAATAATACATTCAATACAGTATATGTTAGTTAACGTTATTTCAAGAAAATACAGTTGTTCAATGTCAGTTCATGTTAACTCGCGGTGCGTTAACTAATGTTAACAAACATGAATTTGGATGTTAATAATGCATTGGTAAATATTAAACTAAGATTAAAAAAATGCTGTACAAGAACTATTCTCAATCAGTTCATGATAGTAAATATATTATGAAGCTTTATTGTAAAGTGTGACCAAAAAACCTGTTAGTTATTTAACAAAGGAACCCATTTCTTGAACAATGGTAAGATTTCACCAATCCTGAAGATTCTTTACATAATACATAAACCTTAATATAAAGAATCATATTTAATAACTTAGATTTTCAACAGTATGGATTGAAATCTCAAGCACATGCACGATTAAAGACATTAAGCTGCGCTGAAATTAGATTAGACTCATTTCTCCAGCAAAGCCAAGATCTATAGTATATGATCTCTTCTAATCAGAAACCATGCATGCAATTGAAACCCCCCTAAAAAAGAGAGAGTCATCCAAACCACCAGCATGTCAAAGCATTAAAATGTGATACAATTACCATAGGTGCAGTTACAACACAAGCGGAGAACCAGCAGCACCTCCATGACAAACTTCCACTGATCCTGCAGTCTTCTCTAACTGCTCTCTCAATACTTCCTTCACATTCTGCACCCCTTTTTATCCGTCCCTCACAAACAGCGCCAAGACAGAACGAGAGAGCGAGAGAGAGAGAGAGAGAGAACTGCTGCTCTCCAAACCCTCAGAATGAGCAAGCACACACACTCTTCCTCACACACACAGTTGAGTTGTGGACTCTGCATACACAAGTAGACAGATGCAGAGCTGAACTCATTCTTAAAGAGACACCGCTCGCTCACTCACTCACTCATTCATACATACATACACACTCATCCATTCTCTCAAACAATACAATAAATCCCATTCTAACAGTAGGCATTTATATTCTCCCAAACGTGGATCACTCATCGCAGATAAACAGATATGCTCTTACCCTCCATTGTGGCGGTTGCAGTGCAGTCCTTGGATTCCTTAGGACCTTTAACTTTCAGATTCTGTCAACAGAGAAGATGCCCACTATAAATACACACTGACACAAGCGCACACAAATATACAGCAGACCATGTGCATGCATCTTGTGTGAAAAAGATGTACTGTATTTACTGTATATACATATCAGAGATATTATGTAGATCCTATATGTATCTTCTTTCTGGAAACAAAAATGAATATAATGTGACAATCCGTCACATCACTATGAAAGCTTGGAATAGTATTGTTTATATATAGGTTGCTAAGATGTTCAATTATTTCTAACCCACTGACATTGCTGCTAAACGGTTGGTAGGTAAAAAGGGTCATTCCAGTGTAAGTTACTGGGAACAATTTTCATCTAACTGGTGTGCTAAATGATTTATTACATAAATGTAAAGAAGAGACCGTCGTGTAATAAATACTGAACTTATAATCAGTGAATATGAGGGGTTTCACTTTCGAAATGCGGTATAAATTGGTCCCATTTTGGCGTTTTTAATTCTTTTGAACACATTCAGGTGCTGCTTGTCAGCTTTTTTGTTCGTTCTTGCTGTCAATTGCGGAAGAAATGATCGATAAAACGTTTCTGATAAACCGCTGTGACAGCTGCAGGCGCTGTGTGACGTGCGTGCATGCGAAGGGGAGTCAGATTTCGATACCACAACAGAACTGCATGTTCCTCCATGCCACGTCAGTGATGGGTCGTTCTTGAACGATTCGTTCATTTTGAACAAATCTTTCGAACGACTCGGAGTGAATCATTTATTTGCACATGCACAAGTGGAGCTCATGTGCTATATCGAAGTGGTCTGCTTCACGCAGAATGTGCACGTGTGGCCTCAAACCATATCGATATGAACGACATTGGATGATACTGCATCACGCTGGGGAATAATATTGATATATTCCCAGAACTCGATTTACCGCCCAGCCCTATTATATAATTAACATAACGCTCTACATCCACTGTAAAAAAAAAAAATCTGTAATTTTATGGTTTATTTCCGGCAGCTGGGGTGTCGAAAACAAAAAAAGTTAAATGACGGCTGTTAAATTAAAGAAATTTACAGTTAAATAACAGACATTAAATTACAGAAATTTACCAGAAATTTAAATTGAAGGAATTTTCGGTAATTTAATATCCATTATTTTACGCTATATTTCTGTAATTTAACCGTAAAATTACGAATATTTTTTTACAGTGTAGCTAGACATTTAGCTGACCAGTGACAGGACGACAGAGGATCCTCTGAGCAATTTAAAAATGAGTTTCACATTATTAGTGAATTAATAATTGATAAGCAGAACATGTAGGGTTGAATAGTAAGAAATGAGCTCACCTCAGAGATCTTCTGAAACTGAATGTTGGCTTGGCTGCATTTCTCCACCATCCCCACTGCCAATTTATAATTGTCCACAAAGGCTTTGTACACGCCGAGCTTACTGGCCTGAGAAATAAAGCAGAGGAAACATGTTTTTAATGCAACACAAACACAGACAATAAGGTAATGGTACATAAAAAACCAAAGAGACGAGCAGGAAAGGAGGAGACAAATTAAACAGAATTGAAGAAGTAGAAGCTGGAGACACAGAGGGATGAAAGAGACTGAGAAAACGGCAGTGCTGAAACATTGATTTGATCTCTAGACCTCTTAGAACATTCATCAAAGTGTGTTCTGTTCACTGTGGATGCTTTCTGCCGAGTAGAGTTCAACCTCAGGATAAGATATGAGGTACAGACAACAAGGGCTTCTGCTGTGGGCTCTGGAGACAGAAGAGCAGGCTTCATCTCACCACTTCCTTTGCTCTAATATCAGTCAGAGGAACATGAAGAACGTATAAAGATCAAGTGAAGCGAAGCACAGCCACACTGGAGCTTGATATTAAAGCTCTAACAGTGCTATTTCTGCAGTACTAACATCATCAAATAGAAACAAACTGTTTTCCCAAACACTCCTTGGGTCTTGGGTCAGTGAACATATATAACTGGCCCAAAATTACACCAGTGGTTGAGCCAATGTTGTTGTCTTGAGTTGATCACATTTTATGTACAATGTATATACTGTAAATTTTCTTTTTCTTAAACTCTACTATTTTTTATAGATTTTTTTTTATTAATGTTAAGCACATTGGGTCTGAGAGTAACGCAATTTCGATTCTCTATATGTCTTGTATATGTGGCTGAATTGACAATAAAGCTGACTTTGACTTTGATCAGGATGCTCACACAGAGAAATGTTTTGATGGTGGCCAAAATAAAGTAACAATGTATTTTAAAAAAAGGGTCTGTGTGCTGACAGTAGTATAACAAACAGTGGCATGGCATTTCCTCTTAAATGATGTGAGACATGCTATTTTTAAAGGGCACCTATGATGAAAAGCATCTATTGGAAGCTGTTTGGACAGAACTGTGTGTAGGTAGTGTGTCCACAATTAGATTGGGGTGATGAAAAATACAAGTTTTTTTTTTTAAACTTCCTGATGTTAAAACAGGATCCAAATCCTTCCCATGTTGAGGCCCACCGCAACGTGACGTAGGAGTGCAGTTTCCCTGCCCACCGAATTGATAAACAGCTGCACATTAACATGTCTACAAAGTAATGCGTATAATCATTTAAAAAAGACAGGACATGCGCAAAGCAACTGGGATTAAAAGATCTGTTGAGCTGGCTGCGATCATCAATCATCATCAAATGTGATTAAGAATGAGTTTAACAAATTTGACAAGTTTTTAAAACTGTGGTGACACTTTATAATAACTACACACTAAGAATCATCTATTAAACATTAGCAAATAGTTATCTGTTAAGCATTAACTCTACATTAATAGCAGTTATTAAGCAGCTCATAAATATAGCTACAAACGCTGTATTCTTGACTTATAAGCACAATTATAATGTGCTTAATAATTGTACTTTCATACATTATTACTTATTAATTTTTCATTCATTCATTCATTTTCTTGTTGGCTTAGTCCCTTTATTAATCCGGGGTCGCCACAGCGGAATGAACCGCCAACTTATCCAGCAAGTTTTTACGCAGCAGATGCCCTTCCAGCCGCAACCCATCTCAGGGAAATACTTATTAATTTTTCATTACCAAATTCAGTAACGCATTATTTACAAACCATTTGTAGTTGTCGGCTTAGAGTAATTCAGAATGAGTTAGCAATTGATTGATACACTTTTTTGAAAATGACCTTCCATGCAGTGTGTAACACAGCTCTGAGTGAAGTGAAAGATCCAGCTAAGGCTTAAATCTGAAAGTGCACCATGTTCAAAACTATTGATTCATCTATAAAAGAGTCGATTTTTAGTGGTTTGAATGAATCGCCGCTGTAACGAGTCTTTAGCAGTGACAGTGTGACGTCGATACGGAACTGAAGCCCCACCCATTTGTTGTGCGCGGAGACCTGGAAAATTTAAACTCCTGGCCCTGCTCACAAACACTGTAGAAAGAAAAAAAGAGAAGACAAACACTGTAGTAGATCCCAGTTGAATCATGTTGCGAATACGCTATGCTCATAAGTGTGAGAGAAAGTTATAGTTATTTTCCCAACCTAAAGATTAGGGTGTGAAGAGTCAGTGGTTGAAGATTATCTTTGGGAAAAAAAACCTTAGCATTATAGCCTGTGTTCTTGACATTTTTTCTGACGAGTGCTTCAGCAATCTACACAATTACAGTTGGGGATTCGTCGGCCGTTTGTTAAAGGAAGGATCAGAAAAGACTACTGATGTATGGGACTTTATCAGAGCTTAACAGTATACAGTTTACGGACCATTTTCTTCAGTCATTTCACAAGTGTAAGTAACTTAAGTGCGATGAAAATGGTTGCCTCCTTGTTTTCTCTAGCTTGCAAATTATGTTGATAAGCCGTGCTGGACATTTCTCTTTGTCCCAAAACCAAAATATGAGCTTTTTTAATGCATAATAGGGGCTCTTTCAAATTAACATTTATATATCCAGGCATAAACAGTAGTAACAGTTACTTTGCATGTTAATAAATGCTTTATTACCTCAACTTCATGCAGTTTTGTCACCTAATCTATTGAGGACCTTATTTAACCTTTAAATGACAATTAAAGGCTTAATATCAAATAACCAATAAATGTTTGCAATCTTATCTAAAAAAAAACTTTAAACTGTGCTAAAAAAAACAGGAGTGTCAAAATACAATTAGAAATAAATACAAATAAATAAGGTTGGATAAAACAACAACAATATTTTAATTTAACAATATATTATAATGCAACATTTCAATGTTATTTAGCAAAGTTTAAACTGTACAGTAATTTTATTTACATAAGATTGGTTAGCTGAACCTGGTCAGATGAGCCTCTAGACCAGGGGTCACCAATCTCGCTCCTGGAGGTCCGGTGCCCTGCAGGGTTTAGCTTCAACTTGCCTCAACACACCTGCCTGGGTGTTTTAAGTATACCTAGCAAGACCTTGATTAGCTTGTTCAGGTGTGTTTGATTAGGGTTGGAGATAAATCTGCAGGACTCCAGCCTTCCAGGAACAAGTTTGGTGATCCCTGCTCTAGACAGTCTAACTTTTTTCAGCTTTAGGAAGAGGAGGACAACATGGATCCGCTGTGTTGGGGTTGGAGGTTTCTGATCCTTCCACCTAAGCAACATTAGTCATTTGGCCAAGAGCACAATAAAAACTAAGCAATCAGATTGTATCTTTGTAAGATTATATGACATCGGCAAAATCCCAAAAATTACAATCAGTGGGGAAGAGGAGATAGATATACCCCAAAAAACAGATATAGTTTTAAAAATGGTGTCCCAAAATTTATACATATGTGCATAAGAGGCTGGGGTGGAACTACAGTGATTACAAGCAGGGTCTATATGTTGAAAATGCTTTAGGTTTGTCTAGTGTACACGATGCACAATTTTGCACTGCAGAATTTCACGCACATGAGGACTTGCGAATTCTGAGAACAATTATTTTTGATTGCACATATTGGATATCCTTTATTTTCCCGTTTGTTCCTGTTTTCGATCATTGCCTGTACGACTTCTCTTAAATAAACTGCATGTAAATCTGCACGCCCGTTGTCCAGCATCCTTCGTTACTCCTAAATTATCTCTATATATATTTTTTGTTTTGATAATGTACATTTACATCTATTTCTTGGAGTTTTCTATCTGACACATCCCACATACGCATTGCACGAAAGCAACTATTTGATAGATCTAATAAAGAGAAAAGATCCAAAGCGCTGTCATTCAAACTCTGCCTTGACCTCTCTCCTTTATCCCTCTTCTTCTCATCGTCTTTAATGAATCCTCTGCTCTGTTGTGCTTCCAGACTTCAGTAAGGTTATGGATTGCTATATATCTGTGCCCTGAGGTGAGACCCTGTGTTCTCAATCTCCATCCCAGCATGCTCCTCTCACTCCCGCTGTTCGGCAGAACAACACCACATCACAAGCGCTTCTGACTTTTCAGCAAGATAAAACTCACGCGTCACAAAGGCAAGCCGAAGAGAAACACATTTGTGGGAAGAGAAAACGAGTAGGAGACCGACGGAGAAGGAGAGAAGGGTGACTAATGGAGAGAAACTCAGCCCCCGATGCACTCCTTCTGGATTTGCTCATGCTAAACCGTTCCTTCTGTTAAAAAAAAACAAATCACTTTTTTATTCTCTCTCTTTTTTTTTGTTTCATGCTTCTGTTCCTCTTCGGTGACTTTCAGGAGCAATAGGGAGCCTGTAATTACTCCATCTGCTAACACAACCACTGTCACAATGTTTTACTAATCACACATGTGCATGGGGAGAAATCAGGTTTTATAACCTCCTGCCATCTGCTGTTTGGTTCAGGAGATAAATGAAGTGTAACCTGTAATGATGAGTAGCATTGCATGCTGGATATACTGTACGGATCTTTTATAAGAACTACTATTATAACTGTAATTTTCCAAAACGGAAAAAAGTTGGCATTCCATAGCTTTCCCCAGCCTTACACACGCTCCGCATGTCTGTTGTTGGGCTACGAAGCCCTGATGACATGCAGACAAACTCACAGACACAAAGTTAGACTAGTTCCAACCAAGGCTCATTCTGAAAATGTAGTCAGCAGATGTTTCTGGAGACCGTGCATTATGTAGCCTGAGGTACGTATGGCTGCATTTAAATTTTTTTTAAGCGAACACTGCAAGGCGGTGTGACGCCGTTCCTTTTAGCACTTACCGGCTGACCGCTTACCTCTATGTGGAGGGCTTTCCCGCCGCAACCAGTTTGTCCAGTTAGCTTGTCATGTACGCCGTTGGACTTGAGACGCAGAGAGGAGTTGACCACTACAACGGCGACCCGGTTCTAGTCCGGGGAAGAACGATTCCAGAAATCGCGTAAGACAAAAAACAGAATCCAAAAAAAAAAATGAATGAGTGAACAACAGGGTTGAGAATGCGGTGAAAATCCGAAAACGTGGTAAAAG